TCACAGTCATAAAACGCTCGTTGCGTCGTACGAATTTCCTCATTACTTTGAGGCATTTTAATCATTGTTCTTGATAAAGAAGCAATGACCATGGATACTTTTGCAACGACTCGGGAAGCAGTACTAATGCTTACGCCATTAAAATCACCACAGGCACGCAGAAAATTGCCCGTGGCATAAAATCTTAGTGTTAACAATAACTGGTTCATAGGCGTCAGTAATCTTGATCTGAAATTACATTAAGAATTATCAACTACTCGTTAAATAATAATATTATTTTATAAAATAACTTCATTATTCGAACAGAATACATACTTATTCCACAATATTAATATTTGATCTTCAATCGCATACAGTAATCTAAGCACTGTATTCTTTTTTAAACGAAATCGTTCAAAAAATTCTACGTCATCCCATTTTTGAAAATTGTCCGGTTTGTTTCTTAATGTATAAGGTCTCCTTTCCACAATTTCATCGTCATCAGATTCAAAAATATTTATATCCTCGATTAACAAATTCATGTTTGTGTTTTAACAACAACGATTTTATAATCTTGTCATTTTTTAGGTTATATAAGAGCACTGAAATCAATATCTGCCAGATATCCGCTACTTCAAGTAGCGGATAAGTTTATCTATCGGAAATCAACTTTACAAAGGTGAAGAAAACCGATTCTGTAAGATATCTCCTGGATAAAGTTATCGGCAACTTATACAGAGGTGAAGAAATTGGCCATAAGACCAATCGAGAGGAGGTCATATACGGAAAGACCTGATTTACCTACAGATGAGTCAGAAAAAAAAACTGAAGAGGCATGTTAAAGCACCAATACAAATAATCACCAAAACCTCACCTGATTAACAGGAAAAAGAGGTAGTTTACCCTTGCTGTTAACACAGAAGGGCAAACTCGAGCGGAGTATGCAACCGCATGGAATTTTCCACCAACACGCCAATAATTATAAAAACCCGTATAACATTTCAGAAAATACCTAGAATAACCCTCACTGAGAGGAAACAATTCCCAGAGGATAATATACAGCGAGATATCAATCAACCGGGAGCGGGACACCTCCGAGGATGACAACACCAAGGAGAAAATAGACGATGAGCAGGAGTCAAAGATTTAGAACTACAATAAATTAATATGTTATATTATTACTTAAGTTTTATTATTATTTTATATATACTGTTAAGGTCTCCTCGCATAGAAGGCGTGATAACAATTATTTTATATTCAAGACTATTAATAAACTAAAAATTAATTATTCTAAAATTATTTTAAAGAAAGAGAATTTCGTGTTGCAATTTTAATAAAAAATAAATTAAAGTAAGATAATCTATAAAAAAGAGATAAAAATATAAGATACATGATAAATTACTCAACCTACCTAATAATCCCACAACACAGTGAGCCAAGAATATTCCAGTAGATTAACCTGAAAAAGGAAAAATAAATAATTAAAAAGAGAAATACAAAGTTGAAACAAATTAAATTAAAGATGAAAAGAGATAACGTAACAAAAACGAAAAATACTTACCATAAAAGAGATACTGAGAATATATTGGTGACCCTGAAACAAACACAGAATTAAATTAAACATATAGTAGGTAGGAAAACACATATTAATAAAAGTTCTTTTAATTGAGTTAAAAATAATTATTTCGTTTCATAGATGTTACATATAAGAAATATTAATTAATTTTGAGTTGCTAGAAGCAAAATGAGTAATTGGAACAAAATAGATAAATAAACAATTTAAATGATTCAAATGCAAAATTTCATAATTAATATTCAAGTTACAGAAACTATGTTTAAACAAGAAACGTAAAACAAGTTCCAATTGGACAAAGACAGTTTTAAGACGCGTAGACAAGTCACGCGCAGTCAAGATATTAATTTGCGATGTTTTAACAATTTCACGGCAGAAAACAAGTTTACTAAAGATTACAAAATTATTTGGACTCATAAAGTCAGTTTCAGAATTACTTGGATAAAGTCGAGTCATTAGAAAGTCATTTCAGATTATTTAAAACATCCACCAATTATTCGGATGCATTCCAAGTTGCATGTTAATATTTTAGAGACAAAGGCCTGATATCTGATTTAATTCAATAATAAATTTGAATATAGTACAGCGTAATAGAATTATTTCACATATAAAATAAGTCAAAAGTAAGAATTCCAGATTTTGGACAAGTCCACGGACCAATGAGAATTACTTCAGGTATCAAGAGCTCATATTTTAAGTAAAAATTTATAAATCATCACAAAGCCAATTAATTCATGTCAACCACATTATTTTATGTTCATTAGTATTAAATTTATAAGTGTAAAGGCCATGTGAATGAAGTTACTAAAAGATTTACTAGATTCGGGGAAACCGAACGTACTGCGGGAACTTGAACAGACAGGTTCTTCTAGCCATCTTGGCAGTGGCGACAGCCATCTTACAAAGTAGTCGTTGCGAGGTAGTCGAACACGACGGATCTATTAACAAACGCGCGACCGATAGAATAAAGGAAACGTGAATTCTCAGTAAAACCAGCGACCAGCATCGCGACAGTGTAAGGTTGATGTCCCATGCAGCGGATCGTGCGTAAGCGGATTCGCGTATCGCCAATCACAGAATCATTCTCTTAGATCTATTCGCAAATTTCGCAAGCATATCTAAGAGAATGATTCTGTGATTGGCGATTCGCGAATCCGCTTACGCACGATCCGCTGCATGGGACATCACCCT